GATGAAGAGTGTGAAGCTTTTATATGTTTTGGTGTTGAAATTTTGTATTGTATGTGAAGCATTGGGGTTGAAGCTTGATAGGTGAAACTTTGGTGTTGAAAGGTTGAAGCTTTATATGTGAAGCTTTGGTGTTGAAGAGTTGAAGCTTTATAGGTGAAGCTTTGGTGTTGAACCTTTATAGGTGAAGCTTTGGTGTTGAAGATTTATAGGTGAAGTTTTTGGTGGCACCATAAATTGATTTTGCTTCACACTATCTTGATGAAGATAGTGCAAAGTTTTTGAGATTGATATTTGTCCTCCATTGATGAAGCTTTTGTTGGCACCATAAATTGATTTTGCTTCACACTATCTTGATGAAGATAGTGCGAACCTTTTGAGATTGATATGTGTCCTCCATTAATGAAGTTTTTGTTGGCACCATAAATTGATTTTGCTTCACACTATCTTGATGAAGATAGTGCGAAGCTTTTGAGATTGATATTTGTCCTCCATTGATGAAGCTTTTGTTGGCACCATAAATTGATTTTGCTTCACACTATCTTGATGAAGATAGTGCGAAACTTTTGAAATTGATATTTGAATCCATTGATGAAGATGCGGTGTTCCCCCTTCCCTTTTTTTTTTTTTTTTTTTTTTTGAAAGAGGAACTGAAATATTTGAAATTTGGAACTCCCGAGTGTTAGAAGTTTGAAGATTTTTCATGTGAGGCTTTCTCATGGTTTGAATTTGAATTTTGAATGTCAATAGCCATGTTGAACTATATATGAGTAGAGTAAGTTTCCATTCTTTACCTTACATTCATTTGCTCATCTTGTAGTGATTTTTTAAGACAGAATGCTCTTTACTTGAGAGAGATTCTGGCATTGCTTTGTTGTACCATCTTCAAGTTGGTAATCTTCTCCACTAGATCGGATATTTTCATTCTTGTTGAATTGTTTGAGTGTTCATGTATTTTGTTAAGAACATAATGAACTGGTTGAGCTTTTCTTCATGCCCTATGAGCTTCCTTATGTTTTGATCCTTCATGTAGTGATAGAGTTTGTTTCTGTTTGTTGTAGATGTCGGAGTCTGGAAGTCTTAGTGATGGGGGGTCCCCTAACTCTAATTCTAGGTTTGAGCCTGCAACGTCAGGATCTTCATGGCCTTTGTTAGAGTCTAGTACGAAAGAAACGTTGGATGATCCTCACAATTGCCAAACCTTAGCCAATATTGGTTCTTCCTCCATGCTAGTGGGTGAGGGGGTTGTTTGTGACGCCATACCCATATTTCGCTTGAGTTCACAGCAGACCATTTAGAAAATAACTTGTTAGATAGCGAAAAGCAACTTGAGGCCCTAAGGCGATCATGTAGTATCCCCCTTAGTGTAAGAATACATTTGGTGCGTTGTGAAGAATTGTCTTCTGAGCCGCCCAAGGGTCATGTTATGTTCTATACCCAGACATTAGTGACCTTGGGGGTAAATTTACCTTTGCATCCGTGGTTACAACGGATGCTGTCTTTTATGGGAAGCAAAATCAATTTATGGTGCCAACAAAAGCTTCATCAATGGAGGACAAATATCAATCTCAAAAGCTTCGCACTATCTTCATCAAGATAGTGTGAAGCAAAATCAATTTATGGTGCCACAAAAAGCTTCACCTATAAAACTTCAACACCAAAGCTTCACCTATAAAGCTCCAACCCTTCAACATCGAAGCTTCACCTATAAAGCTTCAACACCAAAGCTTCACCTATAAAGCTTCAACCGTTCAACACCAAAGCTTCACCTATCAAGCTTCAACCCCAATGCTTCACCTACAATACAAAATTTCAACACCAAAACATATAAAAGCATCACACTCTTCATCAAGATAGTGCGAAGCTAATTCAAGTTTTGTGTCCCAAAAATAGCTTTAACTAGTCACGCTATATACTTAAACAAAAATCTATAGTCATTAAACCTTACCTATTCAACTATTTTCCAAACACAAAACCTTGTGACAAATAAATAAATTTTGTTCACAAAACCAAGATTCTCTTGAACTTGTACAACAACACATGAGTAAACACAAACATGACGGTCAGATTTCTGCAAGCTTCAAAGCTGCTGCGGTGTTTCGAAGATCTAGAAATATTCAACCGTTAGTTTGTTCTGAATTTTTGATATGTTATGGAAGAGATGATGATGAACAACTTTGATGAAGAAAATATGTTGATCTGAACAAAAGAAAATGGAGTTTCGAAGCTCACAACAAGTCTGATAGGTTGACAGAAAAATGATGAACATTTACTCATCATACCTGAATTTCTGGATTTGTACTGCTCCTATGGATCTCAAATTTGGATATGTTGTAGTTCACAAGGTGGGGAACAACTTCGATGAAGAAAGTATGTTGAGCTGCACAAGAGAAAATGGAGTTTCGAAGCTCACAACAAGTCTGACAGGTTGACAGAAAAATGATGAACAGTCACTCATCATACCTGAATTTCTGGATTTGTACTACTCCGATGGATCTCAAATTTGGATATGTTGTAATTCACAAGGTGAGGAAGAACTTCGATGAAGAAAATATGTTGAGCTGAACAAGAGAAAATGGAGTTTCGAAGCTCACCACAAGTCTGACGGGTTAACAGAAAATTGATGAACAATTATTCATCATACTTAAATGTTTAGAGTTGTACTACTCCGATGGATCTTAAATTTGGATATGTTGTAGTTCACAAGATAAGGAACAACTTTCATGAAGACGACTTTGAGATCTGAGCTATAGAGAATGGTGTTATATTGCAACAACTCAAGCTGATTAGTGGAAACGAAAAACAATTCCATCAAAAAACAAAAAAACGTAAACAACAATAAAGGCAAGCTCCCATACACCAAAGAAAAGATGAAAAAGAAGAATAACATAGAAAATGAAGCTAGGTAGGACACAGGGTGCTCATCAAAAAGAGAGAAAAGCTACTAATTGCACTTGATCTTGTCTAGTCAGCAGCATGCAGCATCAAACACACAAAAGTTGAAAATATTTTTAGATAAGGCATATATGAAGGTGTGACATCAAAATCAGGCTTCGTTACTTTGACAAATTAGTAACAAGCAAGACACCTCATTCGGCAATTCTCCTTGCCTGAAGACTTGGGGGACTCCCACCATATGCTACTGCACCTTGATACTTGAAAGTCTCACAACCACTCAATGACTTGGATTTTTCAAGCCTCCAACCAAGAAATTTTCCTCACTCGGGAAATTAAGGGAACACTACCTCAAACTACATGCTTCACTCACAAAGCTTCAACAATACAAGTTTCAACAAAAGAAAAAATTCAGAGAACTTTCTGAAGAAGGCTTTGGTGTATTTAACACAATACGTTGAAATGAAGCAAAGCTTATTTATTAATATTTCCGATAAGCTACAAATATGTACATATACATGAGTCAAAATAAACAAATGTTGATACACAAAACCGGATGGTCTTAGTACAACGTAAATCTAACCGTGAATCTGCAAGTAATGTAAATAACACAAGATGTATTATGGTTCACCCCAAGGTGAAATTGATACATTACCTTGTGCATCTTCATCGGTTAAAGATACCACATCTGGATGGAGGAAAAATACTTCAAGAGAAGATGCCACATCTACATATGAGACAGATAAGGCACATGAAAATGATACCACACTTCAGTACTTAGAAGTTTCGTGATTACTCAGTGGTTTGGATCTTGCAAGTCCCCAACCGAGGAGCTTCCCTCACTCGGGAACTTAGGGGAGCATTGTTTGTACCATACTTGACCAATCCCGAAACTACTGAGCACCGGTCAACGTTATACCGTCAAAGACCCAGAAGAGCTTCCCTTCAACCAGGAGGCCAATCACAATGCGACACGTGTCGACATCAGAAGCCAATCACAGCGCGACACGTGTCAACATCAGAAGCCAATCACAACACGACACATGTCAATGTCAGAACAAAACTAGAAACTCTCTTCTATAAATAGAGATCATTCTCCCACAATAATCTCTAATGTCATTTGTACTAAACTATTCACTAGAACTCACAAAAGGAGAGCTTGAACCTATGTATTTGTGTAAACCCTTCACAATTAATGAGAACTCCTTTATTCCGTAGACGTAGCCAATCTGGGTGAACCACGTACATCTTGTGTTTGCTTCCCTGTCCCTATTCATTTACGTACTTATCTTCACTAGTGATCGAAGCAACTAAGCGAAGGTCACAAACCTGACACTTTCTGTTATACCAAAGTCATCACTGGTTTTGTGCATCAACAACATGTACTTGTAGGTCATTACTATTTCAGATTTGGATGCATAAGATGACACAGGATCACAATGCTACAAGTTAACAATACAAGGGAGATCAGTACACAAGGATGTATATTTACATGCTTATTCTTCGTCGGCCTCCCGCATGGGATTTTCAGGAGTTCTATCTGAGTCACATGCTATGTGAAGAGCACTATTCCCTGTAGCCTATAGTTATAAAAAGGTTTCCGGTTCAGTTACTTTAAGATCCAAGACCTTTTTGGTTTGCTTTGGATATTATCATGAGAAAGTTAAATTATTAGTGTTAGAATGTTATAGGTATTATACTTATAAGCTGACTTTAGAATTCAATGGTTGAACCGGGGATAACCATTCTCTGTATGAATGTTAGAGGTATTATATTTAAATATGTTAGAAAGCTACTGAAACACACTTAAACATGCCCTAAAAATTATGCGCCATACAAAGAGTCTTTTTCACACAAGTGAACAGCTTGTGCCAAATGCTCTCTATACGAATGGTTAGCTGGCTGCCCATGATTCCTACAAATGAACTGGTCACATATTGGCTTACTGCTTCTTAAAGAAACGAAATGTGTTTCTCTAATTCTGCCTACGAGTCTACCTAAAGAAATTGACTTAGGCCAATCTTAAACAAGGCACATATAACAAGAAGGAAAAGAAGAAACAAACTTTGAGACACAACTACCGTATTAAACCAGAATTTGAAACTTACCAGGTATAGGCCGCACAAGTTTGAAGATTGATAAGCTGCATCACAACAATGAAGATGAAATTCAGATAAACTTGCTAGCTCATTCCTCAACTCAACTAGTAAGTACATACACATACATATCCATAACACAATATGTACCCCAAACCCAAACGCAAGTAGGCAACCCACGTCTTATAACAAACAATTAGATTATTCGGTATAATTTCCACAGAAGAAGAGAAAAGTCAGAGCAATCTTGACCCACATCCTTCCCTTATCTTAGCCATTACGCTGTCTAAACCCGAAATTTGTATCGACACATTATCGATGACAGCCCAAAGTTTTCATTTATACATTTGAAAAATGAAGGGGAAAAAGTGCAGAGCAAATACCTATCGGGAGTGACATCAGAGAATTTCGTGGGAGCCCAAGACATCAACATATTTCCCACACAAAGCAAGCTTCCTTCATAGTCCACACCATTCACTGTGAATCCATTCTCTGTGTACCTTCACCAACACAAATGGCAGAATTGTAATAATTAGTGGCTAAAACTGAAATTGATTAGGGAGTAATAAAAAAATTAATCAAAAATTAATTAAGGAATAGGCAGCTACCGTTGAAAGCGAAGCTGGTCGTCGGGGACGTTGTCGATGAGATTGATCTGATCGTAGAGAGAGAAGGCGCGCCTGAGAGACGGGAGTGATTGTTGGGTTGCGTGTTTCGGGCGGGCTTCTTTCCGGAGGGTCCGAATGAGGTTTGGTAATGCCCCGGCTGCTCTCGCTCTCGACCCCATTTTTATTTCGCTGTCTCTGTCTCTGTCTCTATCTCTTTCTCTTTCTCCGTCTCCTTCTCTACATGTTTCTGTCTCTGCAAAATAACTGTGAGTCCAAATCTTCCTGAAACTTCTGCCCCCACATTGTAAATAGCTCAATAAAATAGAGAGGGGGGGATAGGAAAACAAAATGGGTAAGTTTGATTTTTTTTGTTTTTGTTTTAATAAACGCTACAATAATTTAGACTACAAATCATCTAAAATATGGGACGGTTGATTTAAACTTGAATGTAAATAGAAAATTACATTGTTTTAACTAACTTAACTAAGCTCATGTTTACACACAAATAATTAATATTGATTGTACGTTAAAATGTAAGTATCTAACTTAACGTCAATTGATAATGAGTGGAAAGGCCTCAAAATCTCTTAATAACAACTTAATTTCATCATTCGATGGTAGATACTTTTAATGTTGAATGCTATGCTCTAATAATTCTATTTGTACTTACTTGAGTTGATTTTAAACCCCACAAATTCTGTTTATGTCAATATAAAACATATTTTCAGTGTTCTAAAAAGCATCATAGTTACCTGATTTAATAAGCACTTAGACGAGCTTAGGCGGATATAGATGGACTAAGTTACTTTTTATTTTGTTTTTGTGATTTAATTTTTTTTTCAAATTACTTACTGTCACAACTCATTATTTTTTTGTTTGTCTCTCTGACGAATAATGGAACTCAAACTAGTGCTAGCGATTTTTAGAATACAATATTTTTGGCATGCAATTACCCCATGTAAGAATCAATTAGTATTGGATATTTTTTTTAAAGGGAGATAACTGGTGGCAAGTTACGGTGACATTTCAACTTTCTTTGCCCACAATTCTGCCTTCCACACCAACAGTAGATTTCAAACTTGAGACCTCCAATTTTTAGTTTTAAGAAAACCTTGTAATTTATCATTTACCATTGGATCACTCAAATAACACAAAAACCAATCAGTCAAAATTTTAAATTTTTTTGCTATGCATGCTATTGAAATTGCTGTTCTAGACCCAAAGGGTTAATTTATTTTCTAGGCCCAAGGAAATAAAGCTAGCAGCCCAAATCCTCGCCTAGGTGCTTTACCTTGTTGGAAACTATTATTATTTAGCTTTATTTTAATCTTTGATATTTTGGGCTTAACCCGTTAGTATTAGGGTTTCGTTTCCTTGCCTATTAGGGTTAGGTTAATTTTCTATATATATGGTACTTTGTAACTACTCTATAGAAAATAAGTCATTCACAATGTAGTCTCTTAGGTTTTGTAGCCGTTCCAACATTCTCATTAGTTTAATAATATTCTTATTATTTTGTTAGTCTTGTTCGTTGCGCACTCTGATATTCAACTTGGTATCAGAGTGGGTTCAATCCTTAGGGTTCAATCCGTTTTCATTTGTATCTATTTGTTTGCCTTTGTCGTCATTCATTTTAGAATTGTTAGTTGGTATTGATTGTTTGCAAGGAAAAGAAAAATGAAAGAGAAAAAAAAAAGGTTCTGCTTGCAGAGGAGAAGATCCCCCAACAAATAAAAAAGAGGACGAATGAGAAAAGAAGAGAAAAAAAAAAGGACGGAAAGGAAAAAGAAGGAAAAAGGTGCGATGTTGCACCTCTTCGCCCAGAAGAAGAGAGAGAAAAGAAGGAAAAAGAAAAAAAAAATTGTTTGGAGTTTTTGAGGCAAAATTGTTTGGAGTTTTTAGGCCCCCACACGGGCAAAGAAGGCATCGGTATCGGCATCGGCATTGGAATTTGGAGGCTTGCATCCACATCTGCTTGTTGGCAAACTCATGTCGTGTACCGCCATGAGTTTGACGGGGGGTGTTGGAAACTATTATTATTTAGCTTTATTTTAATCTTTGATATTTTGGGCTTAGCCCATTAGTATTAAGGTTTCGTTTCCTTGCCTATTAGGCTTAGGTTAATTTTCTATATATATGGTACTTTGTAACTCTATAGAAAAGTCATTCACAATGTAGTCTTTTAGGGTTTTGTAGCTGTTCCGGCATTCTCGTTAGTTTAATAATATTCTTATTATTTTGTTAGTCTTGTTCATTGCGCACTCTGATATTCAACTTGGTATCAGAGCGGGTTTGATCCTTAGGGTTCAATCCGTTCTCATTGGTATCAATTTGTTTGCCTTTGTCGTCGTTCATTTTAGAAGTGTTAGTTGGTATTGATTGTTTGCAAGGAAAAGAAAAATGAAAGAGAGAAAAAAAAAAAAGGTTTTACTTGTAGAGGAGAAGATCCCCTAGCAAATAAAAGAGGGCGAAGGAGAAAAGAAGAGAAAAAAAAATAAAAAGGACGGAAAGGAAAAAGAAGGAAGAAGGTGCGATATTGCACCTTTTCGCCCAGAAAAAGAGAGAAAAGAAGGAAAAAGAAAAAAAAATTGTTTGGAGTTTTTGAGGCAAAATTGTTTGGAGTTTTTTAGGCCCCCACATGGGCAAAGAAGGCATTGGTATCGGCATCGGCATTGGAATTTGGAGGCTTGCATCCACATCTGTTTGTTGGCAAACTCATGTCGTGTACCGCCATGAGTTTGACGGGGGGTGTTGGAAACTATTATTATTTAGCTTTATTTTAATCTTTGATATTTTGGGCTTAGCCCGTTAGTATTAGGGTTTCGTTTCCTTGCCTATTAGGGTTAGGTTAATTTTCTATATATATGGTACTTTGTAACTCTATAGAAAATAAGTCATTCATAATGTAGTCTCTTAGGGTTTTGTAGCCGTTCTAGCATTCTCGTTAGTTTAATAATATTCTTATTATTTTGTTAGTCTTATTCGTTGCGCACTCTAATATTCAACTTGGTATCAGAGCAGGTATGATCCTTAGGGTTGAATCCGTTCTCATTGGTATCAATTTGTTTGCCTTTGTCGTCGTTCATTTTAGAATTGTTAGTTGGTATTGATTGTTTGCAAGGAAAAGAAAAATGAAAGAGAAAAAAAGAAAAGGTTTTGCTTGCAGAGGAGAAGATCCCCTAGCAAATAGAAGAGGATGAAGGAGAAAAGAAGAGAAAAAAAATAAAAAGGATGGAAAGGAAAAAGAAGGAAGAAGGTGCGATGTTGCACCTCTTCGTCCAGAAAAAGAGAGAGAAAAGAAGGAAAAAGAAAAAAAAAAAATTGTTTGGAGTTTTTTAGGCCCCCACACGGGCAAAAGAAGGCATCGGCATCGACATTGGAATTTGGAGGCTTGCATCCACATCTGCTTGTTGGCAAACTCATGTCGTGTATCGCCATGAGTTTGACGGGAGGTGTTGGAAACTATTATTATTTAGCTTTATTTTAATCTTTGATATTTTGGGCTTAACCCGTTAGTATTAGGGTTTCATTTCCTTGCCTATTAGGGTTAGGTTAATTTTCTATATATATGGTACTTTGTAACTCTATAGAAAATAAGTCATTCACAATGTAGTCTCTTAGAGTTTTGTAGCCGTTTCGGCATTTTCGTTAGTTTAATAATATTCTTATTATTTTGTTAGTCTTGTTCGTTGCGCACTCTGGTATTCAACTACATTTTAAACACCTAAATTAATTGTCCCGATAATCAGTTACCTATGCTTCTTTTTAGAACACCAAAAAAAAAATGTTTTATACTAAGGAGGGTCCGAATGGGTACCTCCATCATTTTTGTTTTCACTTGCACTTATGGTATTGAGATGCATTTTAGACTTGCTGTTTGCTTAATCTTTTGGTTATGTTATAATGATGTATCACTTTCATGGTTATTTTTATTTTTATTGTCATGACGTTTGATGACATTTTGATTTTAGAATTAACTAGAAATGTGCCAGCGTTTTGCTACTGATATGAGCATATTTATGCGACTTAGTTAGCTTGTTTTCTTGCATTTTCATAGTTAGTTTCTGTTTATTATAGTGATTTAAGCTATTTTTGTGTGTTTGTAGGTCCAAATGACAAAGTTGGCAAGAAAGTGCAATTTGGAGCATTTTGGGCCAAGAATGGATAGCACATGCATGGAGCAAGGTGGATGGATGTTTTTGAAGTTCAAGAGGCTAGGAATGTGCTGCAAAGATGAAGAAAATAAAGTCAAGACAAAGAAGATAAGGAATCAGCTAAAAAGAAGGAACATTATCCAAAACCTTATCTTATCATATCCTAATCTTATCCTACCATATCTCTAGCTGCAAAAGGAGTCCTTATCCTATTCTAAATCCTTCCCATATGAATTTAGGAGTCTTAATCCATCTAAACACATTAATTCTTTTCCTCGCTGGAATCTGATGAGAAATGTCCTCTTTCCTTACTAATTTGAAGTCCTAATCCTCTTCTTTCACACCCTTGCCGTGCCTTCCCCATCCCTATAAATATATTGTGCTGCAATCTTCAGAAATCACCCACCATTCACCACAAATTCGTCCCATACATCCCTCATACACATTCATCCCATTGTGCCGCAGCTTTGCAAGGAGAAAGGAGAGGAGAACCTTTTCCGTGCCCCTGCCATTCAAGATTGGATTGCTGGAGTGTTCTTAGGTGTTTTCTATCCTTTATTTTCAATGTTTAATTTAAGTTGTCTTTGTTTAATTGCAAATATGAAGAGCTAAACTTGTTTTAGCTAGGGGGAAATTCAAAGTCATGAACATATTTGCAATATGAATTGATTACTTCCAGTTGTGATTTCATGAATCGTGCAATTTACTTAACTGTTTGATTCAAAACTTATTCTTGTTTGTTGATTAAGGGTGCACACTTAGTTTGCATGTAGGGATTTGATGCTAAAATATAAGGGAGTTTCACCTAATAGTTATGAACTTATTTTTATAAGTAGTGGAGGTTGCTAGTCACAATCGTGTTAAGTGAATTCCTGGCAGGAGTATCATGATGTTCATAGTTACAAATGTCTTGTCAATGCTTATGATTTTCACAAAGCTTAATGATCTTGGATTGTATCTCTATTATGCTGTTCATGTAGGGAACTATTGAAGAATAATTTGGTTGCCGATGCGTTGTCCATCCAATTCAATGACTTAAGGAAAATCTGAAGGTTAATTAGTGCTATCACGGTTAATCTGGGGAGTTGAGGTTCATAGTTTATTGGAAAAGAAACTGGAAATCGA